CAGTTTTGACTTTCCATGCTAGTTAATAGGCAAACCTTATCTGCAATTTTCATATTCACTATGAAAAGCTTATTCTTCCCTCTTTGTACCTTGATCATTAGCCTGTGAGACTCATCATAGACTCTCAGTACTCCTTCTTGTATGACTACTTGACTGCCAGATTCATCAAGTTGTCCAAGGCTTATGATATTACTTCTAAGATTTGGTATAAAGTATACATTGGATAGGATCATATGTTCTCCATTCTTGCATTGAAACAATACTGATCCTAATCCTTGTATATCAATCATTGAGTTATCACCAAATCTTACCTTTCCATGCACTGAGGTGTCAAGTTCAGAGAAGTAACTCCTATTGCCTATCATATGGTTGCTTGCTCCTGTGTCCAAATACCACCAGGATCCTGATTTAACTTCACCAAGTGATTTATCCTGCATCTTTGAGTTATGTGATTCAGTTAGTTCACATATCTCAACCATCATTAAAGAAGGTTGTTCAGATTCCTCATTTTCAGCCAGGTGAATCTCCTCTTCTTGATCAGTAGAATGACACTCAGAAGCAAAGTGTCCCGTCTTTCCACATGCATAACACTTTATCTTGGATTTATCAAATTTCCTCTTCTGCTTAGGCTCTCCTCCCTCTCCATGGAAACTAGTATGTCCTCTTCCTCTACCACGGCCTCTACCTCTTCCCCTAGAGGTAGTTGGATCTCTATTACTCCTTTGTTGAGGTTGGGAGTTTTCCCTAGCCTCCCATTCTGCCCTAGTCAGCAAGACAGTCTCTTCTTCTCCAGTGTGGTGGTTCTTCAATCTCTCCTCATGTGCATTGAAGGACCCAATGATGTCTTCAGTAGTTTTGACTTTTAGATCACCAAATTCCTCAATTGCAGATGCAATTTGCAGGAGCTTTGGTGGAGCTGCTCTCAGAAGTTTCTTCATTACTTTTTCTTCCTCAACAACATTTCCAAGTCCTCTTAACTTGGTCACAACCGTTTGAAGCTTCCCTGCAAAGTCATCAACATTGTCACTATCATTCATTTTCATTGCCTCAAATTCTCTCCATAAGGTTTGGGTTCTGACTTCCTTTACTCTCTCAGCACCCAGGTTCATGGTTCTTAGCATGCTCCATGCTTCCTTAGCTGTTATTTTTGCCCCCAGCTGTAGCAAGGTATCCTCCCCTATACCTTGATAAATGGCTGCAAGAGCCATCTTGTCTTTCCTCTTGTCAACCGGTTCAGAGGACTCTACTGCATCCCAGACTTCTTGGGCTATCATGAAAACCTCCATTTTGATAGCCCACGCTGCATAATTGCTCCGGGTAAGCATAGGATATTTGAGAGTAACCGAGCCCTCTTTATCTTGGATCTTGATGTTGTCATCTCCTATGTTTCCATCTCCACTTTCAGATGAGGTTGTACTCATGATTCGTGGATTTCTGGCTCTGATACCAAATGTTAGATAAACAAGAAACTGCCCAGGCTACACAATTCTACTCAGTATGATCTAACACTCACACAAAGTAAAGCAAAGAACACGAAATAACAATATATCCACACAAAGTACTTTCTTGCGTGTATTATTTTGATAACTAATATGGAGGAAAAACTCAGTGCATTCGAGTACAAAAAACCTCCTAACCCCACCTCCTATATATAACAACTTGAGAGTGGGGAAAACTGTTTGAGAAAAAATAGCAACCACTTACCCTACGTGCATGGGTGGTCATTTGACTTCTTCCCACATGAATAAAATAACTTAAATGCTGAAATGATTAACTAAAGTACGTACTAAATAAACAAAAAACAAGTTTAAAACACAAAACATACTACGTACTAAACTAAGGCTTACATTGGGCTCTGGGGGTCGCATCGGCCCATGGACCGCATCGGCCATGGGCCGCGTCGGCCAAAACTGCACCGCATCGGCCAGGTTACGGCCCGACAGAATGTATTTTCTCATCTTATTTATCAGCCCATTAGTGGCCATATTCCGCCCAAAGAAGGCATGATTATTGTAATGGATCTCCTAAGCCCAAGGCCAGGAGCCCAAATCCACATTTTTACCTATAAATAGACCCCAAGAGGCTAGTTATAGGGGTTGAGAAATATTAATTACTCAATTTCTCTCTCTAGCTCTCACTTCTCTCTAGAATTAAATACTCTATCAGTTCGGCACTCGATTCCGCAGAACATCGACACCCCTTATTAATTCCATCATATAAGTCCATGTATTTATTTATGTCCATTTTAATAATATTTTTGTCCATTTATTTAATTTCAATAATATTTTAGAAACATCTCTATTTTAGTAATTAAATATATGCTTTTATAAGACTGTATTATTTTCTATTAATAAACTGTTTATTTCTTAACAAAAATCCCCATGCACCAGCACCACAACGGTGAACTACTAAAAAATTTAACCCGTGACATTTTATTCATACTTCTCGCACTTGCTAGAATGCTAGTGTATGTTCAACATTTGAGTAAAATATCGTGTCCGTACATGCCAAATAAAGAAACTGTTCAAAACAAGAATATAATATGAATAAATTTCAACAACAACAAAAAAAAGATGAAGTGTGTTTCTTAAAATAATAATTTATTCCTTACTGAAAATTTAAATCATATCAGCTTTCCAAAGTTGGCGTATTTGAACTTTATTTTTAGAAGGAAATAATGCATTATTTCCTATATTTAATTAGTTAAATGAAGAAAATGCATTATGTTTTGCTCCTATATTTAATTAGTTAAATTCTCTTTATTAGCTAGATATTTACTTGATTGGGAAATTATATTGTTTGTCAAGGAGAAATTGTCCAATATAGGAGTAAACATAAACATAAATGCACAAATAGGAGTGAAACTTAAAACTTCCTTCAACAGAAGTAAACATTAATTTTGTACCCTTAATACCTCTAACCTAGTTAATTCTAAAATATGACTTATTTGATCTTAATAAAATATAAAAAAAATCTAAAATATTTGAAAAAATATATTGAAATAATAAAAATTAAAAAAAATAAAAAATAAAAATTTTAAAAATAAATAAAAAATAGATAAATCACATTAAAATATATATAAAAATTACGCAGGCCTTTGCCGCAACCTCGGCCATCACCCAGCAATGTCACCTCCGATCGGCGGAAAAAAATGCCATTTTATGTTAAAACTTCCATTTTTCTTTGAAAATGCCATAAAGATGGCAGTTTTGCTCTTTGAAAATGCCAAATTTTCTCAAAATCTGCCATCATGATGGCATTTCGGAAGAATGTTGGCATTTTTTTCGGTGGTCGGAGCTGGTGATGTTGGGAGGTTGTTGAGGCGGCGGCAAACGCCTACATAATTTTTTTTAGTTTTTGATTTTTTAATTTTAATTTTTTAGTTATTTATTTAATATTTTTTATTTTATTTTCATTAATTATATTTAATACGAAGTATGTTTTATTTGATATATTTTTGTGTTTTTTTATTTTTTTTTACAATTTTATCATAAATTAATGTTATTTCTTTTATGTTTTAATTATTAATGAAAGTTGTTGGGGCTTGGTTAGGGATATACTTGTCTAAACACTAAAGTTACTCCTATTCAAAACATGGTACTCCTAGTTTTGCATGTTGCCTATATTTTACTCCTGTTTGGGGAATTTTCTCTTTATTAAGAGACTATTTATTCTGAAATTTGTTTCTTTTTCTCATGTCATTATACATCCTAGCTTTTCCATGTGTATGTAACACCACAAGCAGGGGCGGAGTCAGGACACTGGGCCGGTACAAAAAATATTTTTGGAAAAAATTTTACACGGAACTTTTACTTTAAAAATTTAGACATTTTTAAAATTTGGGTTGGGCCATGGCCAGGGTTGGCCACCCCCTGTCTACGCCCCTGACCACAAGGGATGTTATTTCATTATATCAATTTCTTATTTATTATCATAACTAAATTTATCCATTTTCTAATATATTATCATAAACATGATACTACGTACTAATAAGTTTATCTATTTCTTAAAATATCATCATAAACACACAACACTGATATTTTATAAAATAATATTTACTTCGTGCAACGCACCTGTACAAGTGAAGTACTGGTAATTACTACTTATAATACGATAGTATTACACCAACACATTTTTCATACCCAAAATGACTTTACATGCATTCATTCTTATAATTTTGTAAAGATAGCAATTCAAATTAGAGAAAATTATTACGAATTAGGATGTTTTTACTTGGACTGTAATTTGCTGGTCTGATCTGGTCTGGTCTGGTCTGAACTGGTCTGGTCTGGTCTGGTCTGGTAAGATCTGATTTCTTTGTATTTTTATAACTATCCAAGTCTGGTCTGGTCTGGTCTGAACTGGTCTGGTCTGGACTGGTCTGGTCTGGTTTGGTCTGGGGCAAATTACAGTCCAAGTAAAAACATCCTTACATGAATGTCCGTACGCTCTCTATTTGCTTTTCTTAATGTGAGGTCTCCGTTTGAAGTTCTTTCAAAATAGGTTAATTAACTATCCAACCAATCAATGTTAACTCACTTGACCTTTCCTCCGACCTTATGAATTGAAGCATTCAAAAAATGCTAAATGTAATTACAAACTACTCAAAGAACCATTTGTATGAAAAAATAAATATGGGATCATATCTCTTAAGATGCGGAGTTCCATCCTAAAAAGTCTACCTGATAGGACTGTAGGAGTAGTAGCTCAAAGCTTTATATATATAGTGTTTTTTGTTATGTAGCTATCTGGTGTGAGACAAAAACTTTAACAATACCAATGTTTCTAAGTCGTCTGAGTTTATTAAGATTACATCAAAGGAGTATTAGTGAGATTGAAGTAATGAATTTAGAACAACAATTAGCTTTGAAATTAAAGGTAGGAGTAAGCTGGGGGTTTCTAAAGAAAGATTCTTGTCTTGTGATAATGGGAAAATGGAAGATGCTAGGGTCTCCACAACTAAGTCTATAAATAACGCACCATGATTGGTGCTAAACGTTATTCCAAGTACTAAATCTGAAATCTCATAATATATTGTTTTCTCAGCTAAACATAATTAAGATCAAAGTAATTAACCTAAAAGGATGGTGCCTAAGGTCCACGGCAGCTTGATGTCACCGGCGACGTTGAGAGTTATTGCATGCCTCAAAGAGAAGGAGCTCAAGTACGAACTTGTCCCGGTTAATTTGCAGACCGGAGAACACAAAAAAAAACCTTTCCTCCTACTAAATGTACGTGAGTCCAGCAACTCTAGTAAAAAAAATTAACTAATCTTCCAATCTTTAAGGAATTTATATGTATTGAATTGGTAGCTTAGTATGTACTAATTCATATATAAATCCCGTCTTTGGTCGATTATTGTGGCAGCCCTTTGGTCTAGGGATGGCAATTTAACCCGACCCGATAGATACCCGCACCGAACCGAACCGGTCAAAATGGGGAAAACCGTTTTGACTGGGTAATGGGTACGGGGCGGGGAATACCCGATTTATGTAAACGGGTAATGGGGCGGTTATGGGTTTATACCTACCCGCCCCGTTACCCGCCCCGTTACCCGCCCCGTTTAATTTGGATACGGTTACCCGCACCATTACCCGACCCGCACAATTAACTTATATATTTTAATAGTTTATGTATTTATTATTTAATATATTAAGTATATATGAATATTAGTACATTAGTATATGACACTTATTCTCTCTAGTACTTTGAAACAATATTCAACTTATCGGCTATCCTTTGCAATTCTGATGATCGAGTTGGTGCTCAAAGTTCACTATTTTAGATTTTAAATTTTCAATATCATTCATCATCCTTCCTTTGTTAACTTCTATAATATTCCTTCAAAAAAACCTCTACAATATTTATTTTCTTCACATATTGATTATTTGATTTTCGTGACTTTCTTTACGCAATTTCCACATTGTGACTCTCTTAGTTTTTCACCCAATAACTTTCATAAAACTCACGTATGAGTTTAAAGTCAAAATATTGCGAAACATTACTCTAGCTTGCTTTAATTTATGTAATTGCTAATAATTTTGTAAAGGTGTATTGGATGATTAGATTAATTTTGATTGGTTGCTCTAATTTATATCAAGTTTTAAAATTTAAATTATGTTTTTTTTCTAAAACAGTAACTACAAGAATACCTAAATCAAAGTATTACAAGTGCCTTTTAAATAATTCCAAATCTATAATCAAAATAAAAGTTGTGGACAAAAATGCGACTCTAGTAACTTTAGTGTTTATAATTTTATTCAAATGTTATGTCGTAGTGATTACAAAACTTACTCATGGTAACTTATAGTCATATTTATGTTCATATCTTTTTTATTAGAGGTATTTTAGGGGAAAAACTTCCCATTTTCATTATGTTACTTGTATACATTATTGTTCTTAAATTAATTTAGACGTTGAATGTTGGTGGGGGTATGCTTATTGAATGTTTGGAAGTTAAATGTTTTTTTTATTCATATTTAGTTTTTACTATCGAGACAAGACTTACTCTTTTGATGTTGATGTGGTAAGAGATTCAATTTGAATCTAGACATATATAATTTGTGAATATTAGATTCAAACGATTGTAACTTTTTGTCATGTTTTAAAAAACTTTATCTGTGGTACTATTTAATTTTAATTTTTTTTAATTTAGGTGGTCAATGATAAGTAGTTAATAATCATTTTAGGATCTATACTAGTTTTGAAGGAAAAAAATTATTTTTTAATAAAACGGTTACCCGCGGGGAAACCGTTACCCGCGGGGAAAACCGTTACCCGCGGGTAAAAAATACCCGACGGGTAACGGGGCGGTTTCGGGGAATTTTTTTATCAAACGGGGCGGGTACGGGTAATGGTATACCCGACCCCGAACCGCCCCGTTGCCATCCCTACTTTGGTCAAGTGCCAGCTTTCGAGGACGGAGATGTGAAGCTCTATGGTAATGTTATGTTGTACTAATCCTATTTGACATTTAAATTTATAATAATTGGACTTTCAGGGTGTTTAAATAACATGGGTGTTTGATCATGAGCGTATAAAAATATATACGGAGTACTTGTAATAAATTTTGTAATAAACTAACATTTGAATTTGAATATATACATATATATATATCAAAATAAAATATTAGGCTAGAAAAACTTTTAATTTTAGAACTTATGGAAAGAAATATTTGAGAAGTTTGACACACTTCGTTTTTAATTAGAAACAATTCCACCGATGATCATACACTTATTAATTATCATCTATATATCATTTTTTTATTAAGTTATTTTACTTTTTTCCTTTTTTGATTCTTTTTCAGTTTTAGACACTTATTACATACAGGGGCGGACCGTAACACAATTCCAACAACAATTTTTTTTAGTGTATATATATAATAAAAAATAATTTTCACCCTCCAAAAAATATTTTGTTTAAGTTACCGTCCTCCCAAGACAAACTTTCTGGGTCCGCCCCTGATTACATACATAGTATCATGTACATCATTATATTATTCTATGAATGAATTAAAGGTCATGCACATTCCCACCAGAAGAAACGGAAACATACAAACTTAAAATGTTATTTCAAAAAACTAATAAAGAGTTTGAGTTCGTTGGTAATTCATCCTGAACAAATATACAAATACAAACACTTATGCAAGACCTTATACATTATTTTTCCTATATCTTTTACGTACCTTTTGATTAAGGTAAGACTCAAAATTAAAGCTTAATACGAAGTATGACTTTAGAGCTAATTCACCTCAAACGAGCAATTCAGTCAATTTATGTCAGAACAATGAGCTAGAACGTAGGCTACCTTCTAGATGTATTATGTATACACTGCAATGAGCTACCATTTTGTGGTGCAAGTTAACCCATCTCACACTTTCCAAGTATGAAAATACATACTCACATATTAATACAATGCAAACTCATACACAAAACTTTGAATAGTATAAAAGTGCAGACTTCATATAAGGTTCGTTGATCACTTTCTAAGGTGAAACTCGAAATGTTCATCAACTAATCGGTTGAATTAGATGCATTGGGCATGAAGAAATTAAGGCTTATTGTTATATTCTCAATAATAATCAATATATATATGTTGTGAACGTTGTGTGATCTTATAGAGTCACGAGCAATAACCCGATACATTGAACGCACATATGCTGATCGTGGGAGCCAATTGGTCCCTAAAGATTTCGATAATAAAGAATTGGCGATCATGCGGGTGTGGATGGAGGTTGAGGCTCAGCATTTTGATAAGGTGGCATCTAAGCTGGTCTTTGAGCTCATCATAAAGCCAATGACCGGCAGAGTGAGCGACGATGCTGAGGTGGCACGACATGAGAATGCGCTCACCAAGGTTCTCGACGTGTACGAGAAACGACTTAAGGTGTCAAAATACTTGGGCGGGGAATATTTTACATTGGTTGATCTTCACCACACACCTATCATAAGTCAACTCATGGGTACTAAAGTGAAGGATAGTTTTCAAGAGCGTCCACATGTTGCTGCTTGGGTTTCTAAACTCTTGGCCAGACCTGCTTGGGCTTCAAGTTCCAACTCTTCATCGTTTCTCTTGTGTTTTGAGTGTTCCATTTATGTCATAATATTCTGTGTTATGTTGTACTCTGTATATACTTGAGCACATTTAAATATCTCTTATGTGAATTTGTACAATGGCATTTTACTATCTGAAATTATGTTGTGGACTTTAAAAAATAATATTACCATATACTTAAATATGTGAAATGATTGGCTCTACTATTGGTTTATAAGTCTACATATCAATAAGATTCCGTTTACAATTTAGAAATTTGACTAACAAAACATACTCATAGTTAAATAGTACTCCCTCTGTCCCGGGTAAAGGTTCTCGTCGATTTAGTGTGTTTGAATGGCTATAAGTTAATTCATTCATGTCTTTATTTTAGTAAATAAAATTTACATATTCAAAAACTACATTAAAAATTTAAAAAGTCACAAGAAAATCAAATTAGATAAAAGTTTAATTTGTAAAGTAAAAGATTAAGAACTATTTAAATTGACTGGAGAGTAGTGGACGAGAACCATTATTTGAGACACGGGTAAGACTTAACTATAGTTAAATACTTCATCCCTCCCAATTTGAGTTGCAAAATTAACTTTTTTGTCAAACAGACTTATTTTTTGCAAAATTGACTTTTTTGTCAAACAGATTTAACTATAGTTAAATACTTCATCCCTCCCAATTGGTAAAAGTAGATAGACTTATTTGACAGTTTTCCCTAAAATTTATCATTGTTCATTTGTTTGTATGCTTCTATTTGGGCCATTCTGTATCAAACTTTATAGATTAACATTTAAGTGGTGTAAGACTATTTGTAGTAGTTGGGTATTAGGAGTCCTAAATGTTAAAGATGGAATTTTTGGACTCCTAATTTCATATAGTGGTAGACTAAATGGGACGGTAAAAGTGGGTAAGGGGTGGAGGGTTTTACATATGGAGGGAGGATGGACTCTCAAGCATAAACAAATGGTGGACATATGTGGGGGAGAGTAGGAGAGGGAAGTGTGCATGGATGAGTGCATCACATAAAAAGTATTTTTTTCTTTATATGTATTATAACTCTTTTATTTTTAATTCAAATTTTATAAGAAATATATCAAAATTTATGAATTTTTATAATCTATCATATGACATCAATATGTAATATATAAAATGGAAAAAAAACTGAAGTTTTAATTGTTGAAGTTTTCTTGAATCTAAAAAACACAAAACACAAATTTTAAATTCATGGAGCCTTAACAAATAACCGAATATTCCATAATTGAACTTTACTTGAATTAAGTTCATTTTTTATTGACCGAAAAACGTTAAAAAAAGTTAATGGAATTTATTTATTTTTACATCGAATTGTGTGTTTTTTTCCCATAATTATTCAGGGAAAAATTTAAAAGGAAAACATTACTTACAATAATTTAATTAATGTTTTATTAAATTGATATGTAAAAAAAATATGTTGAGTGTATTTGATTGATGGTGCTGGAATGCAGAGAAAAAGGAGTCAAAACACTATTTTCATATAGACGGAGTCCATTTTTGACATTTTGACGTCCACATCACTCCAAATGGTCTAAGCAGTTTAAACTTGTTCAGCCCGCCTCCCACGTTGTGTATGGACTGCTTCTTAGGGATGGACTCGGGCCGGGCCAACCGGCCCGGAACCGGACCGGCTCGCTACTGTGCGGGCCCGGACCGGCCCGGTGAACCGGTTTGTGCCCGGTTTGGGCCACCCGCCCGGTGGTATAGCGGTCCAGGCCCGGGCCTCCATTTTAGTGAACCGGCCCGGTTCGAGCCGGAATTTAATTTTTTTTTTTTTGAAATTTTTTAAAGTTTTGGGTTGGATTAGGTATTTTGGGCCATTTGAGGTGGTTTGGGGTGAAGGGGGAGGGGTAGGGGGTTAAATAAGAGAAGAAGAAAAAAAATTAAAAATCCGGGTGGCCCGGCCTGGCCCGGTCTGGCCCGGAACCGGACTCGGAACCGCCCACTACCGGTTCGGGCTCGGGCCTCATTTTTCTGAACCGAGGCCGGGCCCAGGCCCGAACCGGAACTGGTCCACCCCTACTGGAAAAGTTTTTTTTTAACGGGAAGCATGTTGAACCTTTGTGGGATCGCCGATCTGTTCTCATCATATCACCGCTGCTGGAAAATAAAATTAGGAGAAGTTTGGTTTAGACCTGCACAAAAGCGGGTTCGGGCTGGGCTCGGGCCGGGCTTTTCATAAGTTTTCTGCCCATCGTGTGTGGGCAGGCCCGGCCCGCAAAAACGGGCCTAACCCCATGTCCATACCCGCCCGTAAGAGCGGGCCGGGTAGTCCACCGGGCCCGGGACGACTTTATAAATAATATTACAACATTAAAAAAATTGCTAATACGCTTATAATGTATATAGGTCTTTCATCACATACACAAAAAATATTCACACAAAAATAATAATGAGAAACTATATCTAAAATTTAAAATTCATGCATGCACAAAGTATTATCGTTAAGTACAAAAATAGATATTATATTGGTTAAACTATTTGTTAAGAACTAAAAACTTAAAATTAAACATAATAAACTATAAATATGTATACCGATAAATTAGTAAATATAAAAATATACATGTGTACATGTAAATAAATACATAAACTAGTATATATAAAAATATATATGTATACTCCCCCCGTCCCCTTTTAAATGGGACGGGAGATGGTGGCACGGGTTTTAAGAAAAGTGAGTTTGTGTGGTTGATATTAATTGATAAAGTAAGAATAAAGTAAGAATGATTTTGAGCCACACAAAGTTTACCAAATAAGGAATGGGGCAATTAAATAGGGACATCCCAATATGGTAAAACGGGGCATTTAAAAGGGGACGGAGGGAGTATATACTAAATGTAGCGGGCCATGCTTATCGGCCCAAACGGGCCTACACCCTAACCCAAGCCCGCTCATATGTTGTTGCGGGCCGGGCACGGGCCGGTGGGTAAATATATATGCCCAAGCCCGCTAATTTGTGCGAGAAGGCTGGTCGGGCCGGGCGAGCCAGCCCAGTTTTGTACAGGTCTACTTTGATTGTATTTTGTATCGATATTTCGTAGAAATAGTAAATAATTAGATGAAAATATTTAGAGAATCCACTGTTTTGTTGGAAATAATTGGATGTGTATCCACATGAACTTCATTGAATGTGCACATTAATGTTGTGTCCATTTTGTGGGGTGCAATTCACATCATCACATTCAAGTGATTCAACTTCAAGTAATTGTGTTTGTCAATTAATGAAATTTGGATAATCTCAGTTAATTTTTTTTTCAAACTGTCAAGCCATTCGGGATTGAGTAAAAAAGAGTGAGGTGGAGCTTAGGGATGGATCGGTTCCGGACCGGGCCAGTCCAAGCCGGGCTTTTTTGGGGGGGAAGACCCGGAACCGGCCTGGGATTCCACCGGGTCCGGAGCGTTCAATTTTTTTTTTTTTTGCTTTTCTAATTAACCCCGACCCCCCACCCCCAAAACACCCAGCCCAACCCGGAAAAACAAAAAAAAATGAGAAAACAGAAGAAAAAAAAAAAAAAAAAAAAAAAGGTCCGAACCGGGCCAGGCCTGGCCGCGCCGGTTCCTATTTCCCATGACCCAGGCCCGCTTTTAGTAACACTCGGTTCCGGCCTAACCGGACAGTCTAGGGCCTGGTTTCCGGATCGGGCCGGTTCCAGATAGTGCCGGACCAGCCCAGGCCATGGGCCGGACGGCCCGGAACCGGTTCATCCCTATTGGGGCTGGTCCCAAACAATGTCAAGCCCGGTTTTGGACTGGTCGCGACTCGCGAGCGACAGACTCCGTACACCCCTAGATATAAGAGGAACAAATTGAAACACAACCTTACACCCTTGGTATTAAAAAACCACCATGTCTGGAACAATTATGATAGTTGTTTCTGTCTTCTTGACATATAGTTACTATATCAATTTCTTGTATGTCTTATTGTCTTATTACCGGCTTACCGCATTGAAACACAAAAATGTTTAAGCTAAAAAAAATCCCGCATACCAAAATATATGTGCTTTCGTTTTAAAAAAAAAATATCCTTACAAATTATTATTAATCATTTAACATTGCTTTATATTTTATTTTTATGTCTACAAAATGTATATGCATATATTATTATTTGCCAGTGAAACGCCCCTGTCCTCCAACAAGTGTTTATATTCTCCTAAAAGTGTGTACATATTCTGAAAAAGAGTACCATAATAATTTAACATTTTCATACACCAAATGACATTGTGAATCCTATATTTAAATTAAAAGTAAATAGATAAAATAATTGTCCTTTTTATCTTTATTTTCTTTCTTTCTTTTCCTTTTGGTGGTGTTATCATTAGGGATGGCCTCGGGCCGGTTCGGGCCCGGTTCGGGCCTAGGCCCGGCCGGGCCTCGGTTCAGAAAAATGAGGCCCGAGCCCGAACCGGTGGTGGGCGGTTCCAGGTCCGGTTCCGGGCCGGGCCGGGCCACCCGGATTTTTAATTTTTTTTTCTTCTTCTCTTATTTAACCCCTACCCCTCCCCCTCCACCCCAAACCACCTCAAATGGCCCAAAATACCTAATCCAACCCAAAACTTTAAAAAATTTCAAAAAAAAAAAAATTCCGGCCCAAACCGGGCCCGAACCGGCCGGGCCGGTTCACCAAAACATAGGCCCGAGCCCGAACCGCCCAAAGGCCGGGCCGGTTCGACCCGAACCGCTGGGCCCACCGGTTCCCGGGCCGGGTCGAGCTCAATAGTAACCGGGCCGGGCCGGTTCCGGGTCGGGCCGCCCGGCCCGAGTCCATCCCTAGTTATCATGTATCAATTCATGTTAGCCGACCCCAATATCTTTTGGGACTAAGGCTTGGATGTTGTTGTTGTTGATGTTGTTGTAGATGAAATAATTTTCCCCTTGTCCGGTGTTAGAGCCATAACTTAGATGGCCTCAGGCCACATGCTCTAATTCCATCTATTGATCTAAGTTACATACTGGAGGATAAGAAGGGGGGATGGGGGGGTTGGAAGCCACAAGCCAGGGATTGTAAGTTGGATGTGAATTGCTAACCTAGAAAAGTGATCCACTCAACAGCTTCTATGAACAACTCAGTACAAAAAAGTTGATCATCCATCCTTCTTTGATGTATCAATTGTCTTATCCGCATACGGATATTCTGGTGAAGCTGCCCATAGACCTCCCAGAATGACTAAATGTGCA